TTAAGATGATTTTGTATTTTATATATTATATGTGAGTGGTTTAATGGTGTCGTAAAAACGCTCATAAATAAGCTTTAACTCTCTGTTGTCCTTCTTTTCTTTTTTCTTATTTGCTTTTTAATTTATTTTAATTTTATTAGGTAATCAAGTCTTCTTGAAGGGGTCTTGCATGTTCAACGAACATATGTTTGTTTTTTGCATTCTGAATAAATATTTTTCGTTTTCATTTGGAAACAAAGAACGAAAATCTTCGGTTACCCGTGCATAACTTTTCTTTTTATTTGATAAAAAATTATTTATTTTATTCGTATACATAGTATATACAGTCTGAAGCATTCTTAAAATGGAGTCCACAAAAATAAGCGGACATAAAATATCATACTAATCAAATTTCTTATTAGAACTCGAAATTTCATCATCAATGGTAGTCACTGAGGAATTGTTTAGGTTAGTGGCGGTCCATCTATGCACTGTAGCGAAGAACGAGTAAATTTGCAAGCCAGAACTTTCTTGAGGTATCTCAAAGTAATTTATTGATTTGAAACGCCAATCAAAGTTGATTTAAGTCAAAATTGATTTAAGCTTGTCTCTTATTGACATTAGCTCCTTGACGTTATCTCCTGATTGCTTGGACTATAGTACACAGACAGGCCAGCGGTATGGCACAACTAGTTGCTGCTACTAACAATCATGCAAAGAGTACGCATAGTTACTGAAAGAGTACAATGTTCAAAACGTGTTGGGAAAAATTTGCAGAGAAAAATATTATAAGGCCACTCCGAGTTCTTCACGCGTCTGATAGCATATTGAAAACCTGTTAGAAAAACCTAATTATCTCTCGGTCTCATCCGTTCATTGTCCCTGAAAGCTTCGATAAACAAAGCACTATCTACGTAAGATACTAAATTTATTCTAATAGGTAAGGGTCGGCCCTCATTTGATTGCTGATATTAAAAGGCTAACGGCAAGATCCCAATAGCTTCTGTTTAATTGGTTAACGATGGGTTCTAATGCGGTCGATTTTGGCAGTCAACGGGAGTCCATTCTTATAGGTCACAGTGACTTCAAATCTCTATCTCTAATACGTCACGATGTAGTCGAATAGGGTCTATTCGAATAGATTTTCTTCTGGATTGGTCTCGAGGGATTGTAGTGGGATTTATTCTGGCGGTCGACGTGGAATTCGATCGTCTAATAGCAACGAAGGATAATCATGTCTATATCGATAGGTCACGATTCCGACAGTTCGATTGTGGCTCATAATAGATTGTGAGCTTATAGAACACGGTCGATTCGAATTGGGTCGGGTCGGGGGATTCTAATAGGTCAACGCACTTTCTAGTACGATATATTTTGATAAGTAAGGTTGGATTCTAATGGAATTACTTTTGACAACTTGTGACAGATTCTGACCCTCTGGCCTATGACCAGACATTGAACTTGGTAATATTGCTCTGTATTGTTACCGAAATTTGCAGGCTTGATTTAGGTATTGCGTAACTTGCACACTTTTCCCAGATTTTCTCGTTATTGAAAGTTTACTTTCATGCGCAGCAAAAAATTCACATTTGCACAATTATTTAATTTAAAATATGTAACTGATGTTGAACGAAAATTCTACTTGCTAATGTAACAAAAGCCTTAGTCTGGATACAGAACGAATGACTTTTTGATCGGGTAAATGCGAAAACTTATATTAAATATATCCGAATGAGTATTGATTTTTAAAAAGGATCGCCATAAGCTGCATAGAAAGGAAATTAAGATTGACTCAATATTTTCCACAGCATGATATTCTTACTTCAACCTCATCACTTATTGTCTTTATCAACTAACAGATAATCTCCAATGCAAAATTATTGCTCTTACTTGAGCGAATCTTTCAAGATATCCCGCTTCAAAAAAAAAAAAAAAAAAAAAAAGGAAAAAAAAAAAAAAAAAAATTAAAAAATTTTTTTTTTTTTTTTTTTTATATAAATTTAATTAAATTTTTTTTATTCCATTTATGCTGTAATGAAGTCAATACATTGCAAACATTGCAAAGCAAACAAACATTGTAAGTCTAGAAATTTTTGTTTGTGTTAAATTAAGTCATAAACTAACGTAAAACACGCTTGAGAAAAACAAAGAACACAAGGGAAAGAGATAACGTTTGGTTTGGGATGAATTTTTTTACATCCACTACACTGTTTAGAGCAGTGCTTACATGGTGGATGGTGTCTATAAAATGATATCGTAATTTCGTTAAAAAATTACCACATCATCTGAATTATCTCCATATATCAATTTTTTATCTTAATATATTTAATATATTTACTCTTTGATGCATTTATAATCATAACTTCTACGTTCTAACCTTAGTACTGATGTAATGTTGATTAGTTTAAAACATTATCACTCTATATAGGAAAAAAAAATTTTTACATGAACTTCAGTCTCGACCCATTTTTCATAGAAGTTCTCAAGTTCTGGGGAAAAGAATAAGATTGATGTGAAATGAAGAAGACGAGTAAGAAATACGTGATGGCTGCATCGAAACTTTCTACATAGACCGCAATAATTATTAACCGCCTTATTAGAAAAATGTGTGATTTTAACATTTTCCAAAGTTAAAAGTATACTATGCTGTTTGTGCCTTCTAATCGCTTGCTCATAACATAAATTGTGCTGGAGTTGGTAAAGGTCTAATCTTTATAAAGTCCTACATTCATCGATGATACATCTCCGTAGATCTCCGTATGACCTCGGCTTTTCTTCACCCCCGAAATTCTTTAAAACGATAAAGTTTTCATCGCCGGCATTGCTAGATTTTAGTAATACTTTGCTTCAATGCTACTTAAACAGAAAATAGTGAAATCGGTTCGTCGAATACCTTTACCTCAGGCAATGCAATCATCTTAAGCCTTATCAAGCCATAAGATTAAGTTTCCTCCTGATCGATGTTTGTGTTCCAACAGGGCATAGTATTTTCTTTTAAAGGCAAAGTTCTCTGCGTAAAATCTGTTTTCCAGGCAAAGACATAGAAATGATGTTCGGAATGCCTTCGCAAATGGCATTTGTCGCTCTAGACTCCTTAAGTTCCTCTCTTGTACGCGAGTAGAAATTACTTCGGATAACATTTATCGCAACTAACTCTATTCATTGCGCTGTAGGTAGACATAATAGAAATACAGTAGAATAGTGCTGTGCCAGATGTTGCTTATAATGTAACAAGGTTAATACACTCATCTTTATTGAGTGTAAGGGAAAACAACAATACGCCAAGTTTAATTTAGAAATAAAAGGAAAATGAAAAATATTGTATGTATATGTGTAAGCTGTAGACATACACAATTTAGACATAATCATAAACAAAAGACTTGAACAACGAACGTGTTTTAACTAAAACATCACCAAAGTTGCATTTAACAAGACGGATTGAATACCACGTTTAGGAATGCTCGTATAGGGCATCAATGTGAAATGAAATTAAATACAATTAGTTTTAAGTTAGAGCAAAGATAATACATAAAAACGAAATCAGCTGCGTTAAAAGCAAAATTCTGTTTACCGGCAAAGTAGACAGAAAAACAAAAAAAAAAACACAAAAAAAAAAACTTATTTCGAAAATCTTGCTTGTGAGGGAGTTTTCGTTATACGCGAACACAGCACACATCGAAAAAAAAATGTGCAGATAGGTATATTCTCTTACCGGTTAATTATGTCTCCTTCGTATCTTCATTGCATTATAAACCTAACGATTATTAGACGACTATTTCAAACGGATTCACTCTCACTATTTTCTCTTTCTAAAAATAATTTTCAATTCATTTCATGACAAATGAAATGTACTTATCCGCAGGTTCATATCCGGCTATTTCTTTAAATTTTTTTTGTTGTTTACACCTTTTAAGACATATCGTTGTTGGCCCTTTCAATTCGACGAACAGACGCCACAACATTTCACTTTTCACTCAACGTTACATATATCCTACAACACATGAACGATTTAAAAGTATGGATAGGTTTACTGCCAACAGACATTGTTTCTGTGGCAAGGACAAATCGATATTCATTGTCTATTTTAAGGAAAACAAGCCGACTCTCAAATACCCTACTTCACTTCATTTAGATGCAATGCTTCATTTATTTTCGGAATCAAATAGCAAAACTTATACCTTGTATCCATGTAAAGGCGTGCTTTTTTCGAAAGCCTCTTCACAACCCATATAAGACGTAGCCTAAATTTGGCAAATTAAATTTTTCCCCCAAAAATCTTAATTCACATTCTTCAACTATTTTCGTCATAAATCACGAAAAGTGCGATTTTGTAGAACCATCATATCGATTGTGTGTCAAAATAGTAGGTCTACGTGGTCTAAATTTGATGCAGTTAGATTTATATCAAATAATATTTTCATAAAATAAAAAAATTGAACCTTTCTACTTTGCTTTTCATACGAACAGTTATATAAGAGAGGTTCTCCTTCTTTTCCTTACATCAATACAATCATATGCTGAAATACTACTTTTCAACGAATCTTTCCGAGAAATTTCGGAAATTTTAATTTTTTGTTAAATGTTTGTAAAAGTGATCCGATGTAAGTCGTTATCTGCAGACTTCGTACTTGGATCATAACACGTCAATTTACTAAGTTTCGTCTCAGACGGACGGAAAAACTTAAATCAATTCAGAAAATGATTTTGAGTAGATTCATATAGCGAAAGGTGATTCTTAGGGTCTGTGCTAGGTCACTGTTCATACATTCGCATTAATATACCCCGTAACACAAATGGTGGTTACTATGAAAAATTATCCAAGAAGACAATAACGTGACATAATGTTAATCAAAACTTTGGACGAAACTCGCGAAGGCGCAGGAACAGCTATGAGAATTGAAGAAGAAGGCATTGTGACATTGCACACCTGACATCATTTCTCACTTAATCGATGCTGAAATATATATTTAATGTTCAAGGACAGTTTCTCATTTAAAAAATAAAAATAACACAACGATTACTTTTAGTTTGCATTGATATTTTCTTTCTTTCGTTTGCAACAAGTGCACTTTATTGAGAGTAATAAAAAAAAAGTAATTGTAAAGAGAACTAGAGAGAACATAGAGAGAAAGTTAATATATATATATGAACTTTGACGCTTTAAAGACGCTTTATTGTCTATTGAGGATAGATGAAGAGAACTTGTAGTGAAAATGTTAACGTTTTAAGCCATTGTTTTTTTTTTTTAATACAGATAAGTTAAAGTATTTTTATGAACATTGCAATGAAGATGAGATCCAAACGAGGACCAATTATGTTGGTTTAACTTTTCGCGGCATATTTTTAACCTATTAGTAGGACATGTTGAAAGCACTCAACATGGTGCTGCGTTTTGGGAGTGTTTGGAACTGATATACTTAAATCGTGTTATACGTATTTGTTTTCTCTTCGTGCTATTCATTATCATTAAATTTTAAATTCGTTTCGGTTATTCGTTTCTAACACCCAAAGTTTCCACTTTCATTCATGTTCCGTATCATTGTCTCTAGCAGCTTTCGATGCCTCTTTAACCCAACGGACAAGCTCCTTGCCATATCTCACCATTCACTAAATTCGGAGAAATTCGTACGGGTTTTTTATTCACCTGGATATTGCCTATGCAGCCTTTAAATGTCTTTTTAGTTTTTAAGCCTGGGGCTTTATTGAAGGCCTGATGGCCGCCCAAGAATAATGGCCTATTGGTTTTCGTAGTGGTAGAGCCTTCTGTGCCCACGCCTGGTTTGGCACTATAATAATCCACCGAAATTGTTATGACGAATTTCGATTTCACCGCTTGAACATTACGCCATTTACCGTCACAGTAACTACCATTATCTGGCAGAGTATAGTTTGTGGAAACAATATTCTTTGAATCTGATTTGACCGTGAACCACAATCTATTATCAATCAGCTCCAAGATCATATACGTGTTTTTGCCGTGCACCGAGAACAGCAATCCATCAGGGTCACGTGGCCGGAAATCAAAACTCAAACTAAAATCTGTACCGACTGTGAAACGATCAAATAATTTCACATAACCTGTTGGCTTATTAAAGAAGTAACCCGGTTCAATTTGTTCAGAACATGGTACAACATGATAGATAATTGGCTCTTTCTCCAGGGCTGCGCCATTTACTTTTATATCCTTCAAACAGCCATTATAGTAAGAAGTATTCCGGATGTCTTCAATGTTCTGACGCACACTCTCTTCTACATATTTTGGCACGCCGCCCAAATAAATGGGAAACTCTACAACTATACCTCTAGGACTTTTATCTTCCAGCTCTATCATAGGCGTTTGTTCAACATCGTCAATAAATAGACTGACCTTTCGATTGTTTCTTAAAAACTGTACGGTATGCCATTGGCCGTCGTTGAGCTCTTCGGCGCTGCTGATATTAGCCACCAACGAGCCCAAATGCACTTGATGATGTATTCTACCTTCGCTTAAGAAAACAGCTATGTAATCTGTATGATATTTATCAGAGGCATAAAATAATAGACCCTCATGATAATCAGTGCGAAAACTGAAAGTAACCGCATAATGTCGACGTATTTTGGCAGATAATGAAGGAATTTCCAAACGTTGTTCTCGAACAGAAAAGAAACGATAACCAGCTTCTATAAAGTCCACGTCGTAATTAGGATTTATCGGTAATTTGCATCTTGGGTCCGCTGGTTTATTTAAATCGGGCCAAAGTAAAGGCCTTCGAGTGATGGGTCCATGATCTTCATCAAATTCTCGAAAATCGGGAACGATTGACGGTTTCTGAGTACTAGTTGTCGTAGTTGTAACAAACGTAGTAGTGGGGGCAACTGTCTTAAGGACGAACATTGGAAATTCAGTTGTTGTAGTCGTGATAGCGGTAGGAGTGGTCGTTGATAACTGTTTCGGCCTGCTTATGAAGGAAGGACGATCTTCTTCACCTTTGGGAATAAATAATTCATTTTCACCATCTGGATAGTAAATCGGTACAGCAGTTATATCGTAAGCTTTAAAAAAAAATAATTAAAATTATTATGAAAGTGACGTTAGAAATTTTTCCGCACTTACAAAATATATCGTTTGAACAACTGTTGATATTGCCATTTTTCTTTTCGATACTATCTGCAAAATTGATAATTTCACCATTAACTGTAACATCACTTATACAGCCTAAGAAGTAGGCCAAATTTGCTAAAGCATCTCGTGGTATTTTTATGTTCTCCGGAAGCCCGCCAAAGAAAATATCACCCATGTCTATATACAATGGTTCGGGCGGATATGGTAATCTGGAAAATTAAAAAAATTAGAAAGACGTATATTCCTTAAAACATATTGCTATTTTACCGTTTGTCCTCCATGTCGTCGATAGATAACCTTAACTGATTGCCATCATGCAAAACGGTTACCACATGTTCTTCGCCATCGTTCAATATACGAGCGTTCGATTCCAATTCACTACCCATTGAACGCAACGTCAAGTAACCATCTTCCATACTTAAGCTTATAGTCGAGCTTTGATTCTGATTAGTACCGTAGAATAGCACACCGTTCTTCTGACGTGTCTTGAATTTCAGATTAATGTTTAGATTGTTATTAGAACTAAGATTAGCGGTACGCAAGAAACCGAACTCATGAGGTGGATAAGACAAAATTGTGGAAAACTTCTTAGGGCATCCTGGCTTGGCGCCTACAGCATTCACATGTTCACTCAAATCGACTTTATTGCCAGAAATTGTGACGTCATCTATACAACCATCAAAGTTTTCTTCAACAATTATTGAATGATTGCGTTTGCCAGGGAATCCTCCGAAGAACATACGTTTGAACACAGGCATAGTGTCATCAGCTTGGGGAGGAGCTTCTTCTTGGAATATTTGTACATCATCGACTTTTAGCACACCTCGTCTACCATCTCTTTCAGCAACAACTCGATGCCATTCGTCATCATTATATTTATCGTTGCTGCCTGTCGAGACAATATGCTCTCCCAATTTATAACGGAAAAATACAGTTCCATCGATCAATTCGATAGACATAAAATGACTATTACGCCCGTAGAAGAACAGTAAGCCGTTTTTAGCATCCTTAGCTGCTTTAAAACTGAACTGAATACTCGAACGTGTTTTAAAGTTGTACGGCGTTGCTTTGAGTACCACATAGCCATTGCCATTGAAACGATATCCCGTCGGAGGAATGTCTTTACTAAGAAGTTTCTTTCTTTTTTGCGCTCCCTGATTATTATCTTCGCCGTAAACAAAATTCCATAAGCCGACTTCTTCATCTCCAACACGTAAATCGTCAATCTCCCCCACGAACGAACTAGAATGTATATCTTCGGGTGGTGTGAAATCTGACGGTGGCGGATAGCCGCCCACAAACAAACGGCTGTTACGATCCACATTAAATACATTATTTGCGCCCATTAAAGCCTCCTCTTTCACATGATCAATTACTGAACCATCGTCCAATTGTTCCCGTATGATTAGTTTTACATTAGATCCCGTGCGATCGACAATAGCTTGATACCATTCGCCATCGGCGACATATTTTTCGTTAGTAATACGTTCAGGTCCATTACCCAAATCAAGAGTCAATATTGGATAACCATTCACTATCTCCAAGGCCATAAAGTCGTCATTCTTAGTAGGCGCCACAGCATTTGCAGCTGTTTTGTTATCATTACCCAAAAATAATAAGAAACCGTTTGGATTGTCGGTTTTAAAGTGAGTAGAAACTTTTGTTTTTGTTGCTAGCAAAGGCAAAGTTTCTGGGGTCTTCAGTTCTAAGATAGTACTGGGCACAAATTTAACACCTACTTTTATATCATTTGCTATTTGTCTGGCTGTTTCGATTTGCCGTCTCAAACCTTCAATTTCGTCGCCTAGCTCCTGACCAACCATTTCTACTTTAGCTTGTTGTTCACCAAGGCTATCGGCCATAATAGTCAACTCAGGTAAGAAGGTTTCTACACTGTCAAGATGATTTTGCACTTGATTGATATCCTTGTTCGTCAAGTCGATATCTTTAGAAATGTTACGCGCTTGGTCTAACTCCTTGGTAGTTTGCTTTACTACAGGTTCCAAAATATCCAAAACGTCTTTCATTATATCCAATGCATCACTAGCATTTTGATTAGAGCTTTTATACATGTCTCTCTGGGACTCAGCCGGTAAAGCTTCCATAGCAATATTGATGTCCTTCAGTCGATTTTCCGTATTTTCATTCAACATCGAAATTGATTCCACTTTAGCAGACGAAGCATTTAGGCGCGGTTCCAAATCACTCTGTACTTTATGTAATGAGGCTCGCGCTCTTTGCAACAACTCGGCCGACTCCTTATCAGCCGCTCCTGCGCGATCCTCAATACCAAAAGTTTTCTCAGTAGCATTGCCGGCGGCATATTTTGACTTTTTGGTAAATTCTCTGGCTGAAGAGACTGCATCTACAATATCACTATAAGCTCTAGCCGCTTTAATGGCAGGCTCGGCACTAGCAGTCATGTCAGCATATTGCTCGGTCAAGTCTTGTGCCCTTACAGTCAACTCTGCACCCTTTAATTCAGCTTGTAATGTCATATTAGAAGCTTCAAAGTATTCGTTTTCAATCTCTGGCAAGTCCAAATCAATTTGTTTATTCACATCCTTTAAAGTATGCAGTACTTTACCCAAATCACCAATTTTCTCAGCGATTTCGGTCAAAGCAATGTCGCCGTTAGTGTACAAATTATAAGCATCTTTAATATTCTTTTCAGCTTCTTTTTTCTGATCTGCAACTGTATCGAACTTGGAATTTTCAAATGCCATTTTGTTTAGAACATTCAGTCTTTCCACTTCGGCTGATTTATTGGCCGCTTCAAGGCTCCAATCGTATAAATCTTCTAATTTATCACTGAACTCGCCTATGTCGTTCTTTAAGCCATTCAACGATTTATTTTGCGACTTCACTGGCTGTATAATAGTGCTGATCTCACTTAGCAACTCAGTAGCTTTTTGTAAAATGGAAACATTGTTTTCCAAATCAATCGATGTAGCATTAATTTGACTTAATAATTCTTGGGCTTCGGTTAAAGCAGAGTCAATTTTTGTGCTCGCGGCTGTTTCCAAGTTACGTGACAAAATTTCCACAGACGCTATAGCATCTCGTGCTTCATTGGTACTCAATGCTACTTGTTCACGTAGGCCAGAGACATTTGTTAAAAGAACGCCTGCCATATCGCGACTATCTTCAGCATTATCAATGGTTAAATTGACTTGTTTTAAATACATTTTTGCTTCTGCTTCCAGCTCTGAAACAGCAGACCGTGAGGGATCTAAATTTACGCTTTTTGGATCAAGACTTTGAACTTCTGGAGCTACTTTTTCAGCTAATTCATCATAGTAATTCAACTTTTGACTGGTGAAGAAAGCTAAGGCCACTGATTGGAATTCATCCATAACCGGGTCTATTTCGTAACGCAAACGATCTGTCACGTCTAATAAAGCATGATGGCACGCGTCGCACTCAAAGCAACCTTCGCCTTTGCGCAAAACCCACCGATGAGGACAAGCATCGCAACGATCGCCAATTACACCAGGCAAACATTCACATTGACCAGTGAGGGCATTGCAGCCAAAACCTCTAGAATAACCCTTATTGCAATTGCAAGGCGTGCAGCCAGAGGTAGTGTACTTCCAGTGATCAACAGCGCAACGGTCACATTGACGACCTGTTACTCCAGGTTTACATGCACATTTGCCAGTATGTTCATCGCATTGTGTCGAATTAGAGGCGATACCACAATCGCATGAACGGCAACCTAGACCAGAATCGTAACCATAGTGATCAGTTTCGCAACGATCACAACGTTTACCAATAACGTTGCCATGACATTTACAAACGCCCACAAATGGGTCGCATTCCAATGTCCCTAAATCTTCACAATCGCAACTTTGACAATTCTTTAATTTTACAGCGTCTCCATAGAATCCAGGAGCACACAGATTACAGGCTGTGCCAAATGTGTTATTTAAGCAACGCAAACATTCGCCAGTTAAAGTGTCGCAAGATCCGGGTTCTTCAGGATTAATGTTACCAGAACACTGACATGGTTTACAATAATCGCCTGGAGTCTGCGGGTGACCATAGAAACCATTCGAACAGAAGTCACAACGTGCTCCTGTATATCCTGCTTTGCAATCACAATGAATTTCGTTACCTGCATCGGAAATTTCACAACCCACGGCAAAATTATTTCCAGGTATTGGCAAAGGGCATGCGCATATCATACAGTCGTGAGGAGAACCAAAGGTGGCATTGCCATAATATCCTTCAATACACATGTCGCAATGGTCGCCGGTGGTGAAGTGTGTGCAATCTTCACAAATACCGGTGACACAGTCACAGGTATCAGCGTGACCATTACACTCACAAGGTATACAATAACCACCATAAGGACCATTAGGATCGCGATAATAGCCAGGAGCACAGTCCTCACAAGATAACCCGGTATAACCGGGAGGACAATGGCATTTTTCAACTGGCAAAAATTCATACCCATCTTGACTGTCGTCATCGCTTTCGTCAGCCAAAGTCAGATAGACCTCCGACAATTGAGAAATTAATGTCTGCTCCCAATAGTTGGCGCGAATGTAAATCATATTTATATTACGTAACGCCATCATAAAATCAGCCCGATTAATCACTTTGCCATCCTGGCTAAGGAAGTTACTCTCAACCATATGTACTCGATTCTTAAATACTTGGTTACTGGAAGGCTGTTCATAGCTTTGATGGATTAAAACATGATCTTTACTAAACAGTATTACGTCAGGAGCAATCAGAGGTTTCCCTGAAAATCCTGTGGAATAGAACAGAGTATAGGCGAGTTCACCGCCATAAGCTGAGATATGACTATTCTGTCCAGCCAAATAATCTAAAACACCAAAGTATACAATGGATTCATCGTTAATGTCGGCGAAAGAAAAATCAGCCTGCAACATTGTCTCATTTACTAATAGCTCATCGGCGGGAATATCCCAAATCGCAAAATCGATAAACTTGTCAGTAAAGTTAGCCGTATTTAATGAGACGTTCTTTAACAAGCTCACATTAAATACCCGAAGGTAAGCGCTCTCACATCGTGAAGTTTTGCCAAAACAGAAGCAAGCCGTGCAGCCATCTGGATTATTGTATTGCAAATTATAGGTACCATCCATGCAAAGATCACAATCTCGACCAACTACATTCTTTTTGCAGAAGCAAGCACCGTCAACTTTGTCGCATATTTCTAATTCCGTGCCGTCTACATTACAAGAGCACTGATCACAACGTGGAAAATCAAAATAGCCGTTTGAACAAGTATCACAGGCGCGACCTTCAATGTGCTCTCTGCACTCGCATAAACCGTTGAGCATATCGCACTGTGTGTTTCCAAGCGCAACACCTAAACGATTACAATTACAATCCTCGCAACCTATGATCTGATGATAGCCATAAGTATTAGGCGCACATTTGTCACAGTTTTCTCCCATAACATTAGGCGGGCAAACGCAATCGCCGGTATGAGGTTCACAAGTGGCGGTTGATGGACAACTGCAAGGTTTACAATCAGGGAAACCATAATAGCCGGTACGGCAAGCTCCACACTGACGATTGATGATGTTCGGTTTACATTGGCATTGCCCACCAAAAGGATGGCATTCGAAACTTGTGGATCCTGCATAGTCGCAATTGCATGGCAAAGCACCGCCATTATAATCAGCCGTCAAGGAGAATACAGCCTTTTTGCAGAAGTCTGACGCGTTATGAGTAATGTAGAAATGGTCCTGGCCACATTCTTGGATAAATTCTTTAGTTTGATCGAAAGTTTCCTCGATGAGCAAATCATCGCTATACTGATCAACGGGTACAACAATCAAATAATCCAACCAAACACCAGAAGGTCTATTATTAGTTACAGTAAATTTGAAATCATCTTCAATATCAAACGTCCACTCATCTCCACTTGGTCTAAGCACGCCTCGACAGCCAGAGCTGGAAGGGCAGTGATTGATTTCAAATTTACCATCATACTGATTCTTTCCCGCCGTCAGGGTGTACAATACGTTAAACTTTGGATGATAAGGCTGATAATATTTAACTAAGATTACATAATGTCTGGCTTCTGCTACCCGCGATTCAATAACAATTGTAGCATCTTCCTTGCTATCCAAATATATCAATTTAACACGCTCATCCAAGACGGCATATGGTGGCTTGTTAAAGGTGATATGGTCCTCATGATCAGTTTCAAATTCAATTTTTTTAGAATCAGGTACGGTCCTAAATTTCGGAGTAGCACATTGACCATTGTTTATCACACATACCGGATTGGGTATTATGTAATCAACAGACCATTCCTCGGCTGGTATCGCTGTTATGGAAATAATTGCTACCCTTTCATTGTCGTCGAAATCAGCATAGACAACTACAGGTTTAGAATCCTCTTTGCTTAGGGTATAAACTTTTTCACGTGTTTGTTCATCTATTATTGGAGTACGACAAGCCATCGAAAACAAACAAGGATACATGGTGGTCGTACCATAATTCTCCTGGTCATCATCGCCATCATCAATGCGCAATTTGATGAAGACCGGCTCAGCATAATTACGATCGCTAACATAATCAACCACGAAAATGTACCGGCCACTATGTGGCACATCGACAATATAATTTAATTTCGGTTGAGAAAAAGTAATTAGTGGTATATCGCCAATATGATTAACAATAGTTAAATGCTCAGGATCATTGTAGAATTCATTGGGATTTGTAGGCTTACCATTTGCGTTAACAATAAAAGGAACAATGGCAGGTTGCAAACTAAATGATGAGCAAAATGTGAATAAAAAGAAGCTACAGAGAGAGGTAGATTCAAATACTTACTCTTCTACAGAGGCATATTTATAATGACGACATAACTCCATGTTTCCCAATTCACATGGTGTGGCTATTTTGCGCGTTAAAATTGAAGCTTCATAATAAGCAGCCGGCAACAATACGAAATAATCCAACATTACATTTTTATTACATTTAGTGATAAAAGTATATCGTCCAGGATCTAGAACTATGGCCGAAGGTTTTTTACCTTTGTCACCGGCAACTGTAACAAATTGTGGCGTCGCAGTAGGACGTAGAAGAACTTTAACACTAAGAACATACGCATAATATTATCTTTTTCTAAACTCGCTAATCTACGAACTCACTTTTGATCCACTTCTAAAGGATTTTCCGATTGTATCAATATGCTAGCAGTTACATTAAAGGTGTTCTGATTAACGTAGCGTATGACAATGCGATATACGGAAGACTTAAACACGGTTAACTCGTTGCGGACCTCGTTTTGGATGTCATTGAATACTGCGTACCCTTTATTACTGAACCCTGGAAATACAGACTCATCGAACTGATAACGCACTTGTGCCCCTGATGGTTGATAGCCATTTTCGTATTCATATTGGAACTGATGCAACGTCGGAAAATAATGAGTGGTCAACGGCTGAGTACAAGCTCGACCAGTAACACGAGGGTGACACTTACACTGACCGGTTAATTTGTCACATTCACTTTTCCAGGAACCTCCAACATCGCAATTGCAATCCTTGCAACCAAAAAGTGTAGCACCGTCCAAATCATAAGTTCCATCCTTACAATACTTACAGGTACGACCGTTAGTATGAGGTTTACATGTACACTGACCTGTTTTCGAGTCACAGGTATCCACTGATCCAATAGTACCATCTGTCCAACAGTCGCATATTTCGCAACCATCTGGGTTGCTGATATTAAGATTCCAATAGAGAGGCATACATTCGTTACAGATACGACCAGTAACACGTTCTTTACATTGGCATAATTCACCAACTGGCACTGAACCACATCCGGCAAATTTATCTATAACACCGGCAGGATCACAATTGCAATCCTCGCAACTGGGGAAATTATAAAAGCCTTCTTTACATGAATCACATAACTTTCCATCAAAGTTAGGTAAACATAAACATTGACCATCTGCATTGCAAGTAACACCTTCCGAACCGTGAACGTCGCAGTTGCAAGCTACACAAAGCAATAAAGAATTTCGATAATAAACTATTGAGTATATATTTTGATGAGATAACCGGTATGCAAACTTACGCAAACATTCAGGATAGCTGAAGTAACCAGCCGAACAAAGGGTACATTGCTTGCTAGCAAAATTAGTTAAGCAATTACATTTGCCGGTATTGTCACAGGTAATGGCTGTGCTGCCAGTAGCCGAACAATTACAAGTTTTACAGGCTGGATAGTTGTAGTAACCAGGCAGGCATTGATCACAGCGTGGACCGCCAAAACCTTCACGACATATGCACTGGCCGTTATCTTTATCGCAAATCTCTTCTTCTGTTCCCTGAATATCACAATCACAGTCTGGCAAAGAAATATAAAAACTAGAATTTATAAGCAACGCTATAAGTTCGAGTCGAATGGTACGCACATTGACATTTCGGATATCGATAGTAGCCATGCTTACAACGTTCACAACGTTCGCCACCGAAACTGCTCAAACATTTACATTGACCGGTAACTAGGTCACAGTCATTACTAATGGAACCAATTTTATTGCATTCACAAGCTTTGCACTCCGGAAAAGAATAATATCCATCGGCGCACTGTTTACAATAATGACCCGCAAAATTGATTTTGCAAGGACATTCTCCGTTAATGGCCTCACAGTGGTAACCGTCAGTACCGTTAAGATTACATTCACATTCGCGACAATTTGGATATCCGTAATAACCATAGGCGCAAGTGTCACAATTTGGCGGTTGGAAAGCTTTGCGACATTCACATATTCCGCTCTCTTCCATGCAATTGCCAGTAGAATAAAAATAATCACAACGGCAAGCTAAAATTCATTCGAAGTTATTAACAACTCTAACGTATACGCAACGTATACTTACGTTGACATACATCCGTTTCATTCCAATACTTCCCAACCGATCTATAGTATTTAGGCTTACACTTATTGCAATTAATGCCCTCGGTATTATGCTGACAGTTTAAGCAGCGACCACCACCTTCATAACGACCATGAACATCTAGAGACAAACGCTTGCGATCAACATCCTCATCGTAGATGCAATCGTTGGTGTGACCATGACAATTACAAGCTATGGTAAAGATATAATTTAGATTATTCATTGCATAACTTATGTAACTTACGTTCACATTCGAATGGTCGAGCATTAGTATTTTGACGCCATTTTTTTGCTTCAAATCCTGGACAACACTCATTGCACTGTATGCCACAGGTATGATGTTGACAACGGCATGCCAATATCCTTACTGGGCTCTTTGGATCCTTAACATCACAGGTATCTGCGTGACCGTTACACATACAACGGCCTCCAATGGAAATGTCCTTAATCGAGTAAAAGTATCTACGAGTCACCGTCGGATCTTGCCGGGCAACTGACATTAGATGACCTAAAAGATTCTTCGTGCGTAATAAACGAATACGAACATTTGTTGCTCGGGTCCATTCTTGCAAAATCGAAGAATTGAAATAATTTGTAGCCGATGGACGATCATTTAGCAACATTACAGGAATTTCTCCATTTTCTAGTGGCACTATTTTCGAATACTCTGTCGTGCATATCACATCATCGTCATTGTTTATGGGTTTATAAGTATCCTTGCCAAAATATGTTTCACAATCGGCCGGGGTATCCGAGAAATGCTGCCACGGTGACCATGTCTTGCCATAATCGCTGGATTTCTCCAACGTCCAGAGACCTGGACGTGGTGAGTTACCCATACGTATAAATAGATATGCCACATGAAATTCCTTGAAATAAATAACAAAAAGAACGTATTATAATTAAAAGGAGTGACTTTGTGAACATTTTATTTCCCATCAGTACAATTTTGTAAAAGCAATAATTTTTCAATTTTAAAATTACTGTAAGAAAATTGGAACCCTTAAATTAAATGCAGATAGCAAGTCTTCCTCGACGATTAGATAAGCTAAAAATAAATAATATATTAAGAGGACTATGAAGGCTAAAATTACTTCTGCGCAAGTGTTGGATACTCAATGCTTGAAGCAAATGCATAATGCATAATCATAAAGTGTTCTATTAGCAGAGGGATTGGTTGATATGAACTCTATATGGGCTTGACTTGACTTAGCTATTCGAACGCGAGATTTATAAACACAAATATACAAAATTCACATTTATTTTTATGAACTTTCCCATTCCACTCTTCTCTTTCCTTCTTTCTGTGATTTTTGATTCATCTTCCGCGCTTCCAGCTTTTATTTTTAATTTCAATAATTTCAAAACGACCCTCGTAGCCACGATTAAGATGTATATGTAATAAAAAGTCAAAGAATGAAGAAATAAGAGGTAGAATACACACACATATAACAAACAACGAAAAATGATTCTCAATTTCTATACTTTTGCCTGAGAAACACAAAACTAAAGCATAGTTCCAGGCCTTTTAAATATCAGTCGAAATCTACCATCTGCTAGAGTAAACGTGTTTATGGTCGCAGAAAGGGAGATGTCTGCTTCAGACGCACGATATAAAGGTCAACTGTTATTCTGCAAGAATAGAAGACATCGTTTACGGTCATCCGATAGTATAGATTATGAAAATTTAGTTGTTTTCTCTCTTTTAGTCTTTGTTAGAATAATGGTGAAGAGTATAAAAGATTCGATCGCAGTCGACTCTATTTGCTTTGTGTAAATTTTGCATATTCTAATGCTTATCGGACTGGAGATCTATACATTATTCGAGCTTTCCAGGAAAGTTACTATCAAGAGCCTTAAGTGACTGTTTCGAAATGAGTGCAACTAGTCGATTAACGAGAGCAACGAGAGCCAACTAACTACAATCTGCTAAGCAGATTGTAATAGTCAAAATATTCAAAACGTTTCGAAAGATACGTACATATAGATAACATCGTCCTCCTTATGATGAAAATTCTCTTGTACATAACAACCTAAATGACGAAGGCCAGTGGATGTTGACGACCCTTGTAATGGAATTATGTTAATTGAAGCAGTGAATTTCATATACAAATACCAATATTTTAGATATTTTCGATATAACGTTAAATTTGACTATTCCAGCACACTACTACTTCACGCTTTTCGACTACTAAAGTAAAGTAAAGTAAACTAAAGTTTCTCAAGACATTCATTAAACTGTTTGCTGCGGCTTAATGCCTAGAGTAAATCTAAAAGATGTTACTGGAAAACACTTTCCAGCCATCATAAAATGCATAATGAAAAGTATACTGTTCGACATTCATACAAAACTCTATAATATGATGAATAGCCGAGACAAGAATTATTATCATACCGTCACTTCGTGCTTGTTGCTGTTTTCCTTATGTTAGCAATAAATTTCCATAACCTACTATGTAGAGCATGTAACTCACCAACCTTAACCCATACTTTCTCTCTCTTTTATATTCGTGCTTTACCTATTTTCAGTACTTCGAATAAAAGCGTGAATGATTTTAGCAAATATGAGTTATATGATCACTCCACTATTTTAATTGGTAATGTGCTCATAACAAATGCATACAAACTTGTACAATAAACAGCGAGCCATAAGCATATATAACCGACAAATAAGCGCAAAAGCACACGGTAAACAAATATTTGAAAACATTTTTACGAATAAGAAAAAATGCATTAAAAGCAGTCTTAAAATAAGTACGCAACACTTTGCTAAATGTTTCACTGGCTAAGTCTAAAAAAAATTAATACACTTTATTCATGTTAGGGCGAATTCCAAACACCTACTTGTTGTTTGCCTTTTTTCAATTTGCGATCTGAAACACTTTTTAAGATGAAATCTTAGACAGCTCTTGTAGAAATTTGAGATCCATTTTAAATCAATATCTGCTAGAAGTCCGTCGACGTCATAAATATTAATGATATTGAAATGTTCACTTTTTATACCCTACACCACTTACGGTACATCGTATATTAAGTTTGCGCAGACGTATGTAATACGCAGAATGACTTCACATAGACCCACCTTTTATTATACCGATCAATTTCGAATCATTTTCTGATCCTTGTCTGTCCATTTATTTTTCTGTATTCAACCTACAGGTAGCAATTTTTGAGATATATTGAGAAAATTTGGTGCAACGGCGTAATTCGGCGTAGGGACGGATCCTATGAAAAATGGTTCGAATGGTTCCTCATATAACGTCCTACTGTAATTTTTAGAATATCGCAAAATAAATCACTGACGAATACTATTTAGGCGTTCTCAATTGATGCGGAAAGTTAGGATCGGATGGGGCAATTTTTTGAACCGCTCGCCATATAAATTTTCCTACGGCGAAAGAATCTTTATATAATAACAAATGAAAACATTATTATCGGACTGTTAAATACCCTACACCACATTGTCCAATACAATTATAATTGTTTCTATGAAATCCAAAAATTATACCCTTTGTTCTTATGAACTTATTATTGTGGACCTGTATATTAAAAATTAGACCGCTTTGCATATAAAAGCTTACTTTTTTTGAGCTTTTTTTTTTGTTTTAAATTGCTATCAATTTTCGTGAAAATTCTTATACAGAGTAGGAGTCAAAAAATAGGAATTTGGTGCAGTGAATTTTTCTATCTTAAATTACAATTATAACCCGATTCTCATCATAAACCATTTACACCTTTGATGAAATTGACGCTCTTTTCCAATATGAACTTCAATTTTCGTTATATAAAGGAGGGATTCAAAAAATTGCCCCAGGTGGTCCAAAGTTTCCACACCAAGTTTGAATCCTGAGATACTATTACTTAACCGCTCTTGCCAAGAAATTTCGAAAATTGCAATTTTTTTCCACATAACGAGTTTTCAAAAGAAGACGTTATAGAGGAAGTTTGTGCTTCGGTGAAAAGACGACAATGTACCAAATTTCATGAAAATATCTTAAAAATTTCCGCCTGCAGCTTGAACACCCTCAGACGAACAGACGGACAAATGGGCTTAAATCAGAAAGTGGCTCAGAAAATGATTCTAAATCAGACGGTATAATAAAAGCTGGGCCTATCTTAAGCCCTTCTGGGTGTTACATACGTCTGCACAAACTTAATATACCGTGTACCATAAGTAGTATAAAATATAAAAAGAGGAGTTAAAATCTCAAGTACGGTACAGTTTACTTTGGTCGTAGCTGTAGTGAGTGCTCGGTCCATTACGGCATAACACTTATCCGTTCGACACGCACCGACTAGGCGGCGGTCATCACCTCTCTTTCTTCTTCTTCCCCATTTGAAATAATAAAGAAATAAATAGGCAAAAAGAATAAAGCCGAGACCTGGTTTGCAAAGTACATGAACTTTTACGCTTGTAATAGTGAATTGAACAAACAGACAGATTTCTAGACGATCATATCGCTTGCGCTATTCTACCTAAACGGACATAAGTATTCCTAATGCATATTCAGGCCGTCATAAACAATTGATGATATATACAGTGGTGGGAGAGAAGTATTGCGTCCATAAATTAGTTTCACTTTTGTGCTCACCGCTTGATTATATATTAACATGTCTGTGCATTACAAGCCATTGCTATAATTAGATTAAATTTGAAAGACAAAACTATATAGAAATGTTTCAAGACAATGTTGAGGTTATGTTCTATAACGACATCCATCAAATTCAAAATTTTCTTGTAATTTTTACAGCACGCTTCTCTTCTTAGAGCCTGTAACCAGCGGCAACTTCTCATGGAAACTTAATTTATACAGAACTCTTCTCTCCTTGGAGCCTGTATGCAGCGGCAACTTCTGATGGAAACCTAATTTACAACAATCTTCTCTCCTTGGAGTCTGTATCCAGCGGCAACTTCTCATGGAAACTTAATTTATACAGAACTCTTCTCTCCTTGGAGCCTGTATCCAGCGGCAACTTCCCATGGAAACTTAATTTATACAGGACTCTTCTCTTCTTCGAGCCTGCATTCACTGCCAGAGAGTTCAACTACGAAAAGAATATCGCTTATATTCGCTGCTGGGCATATAAACTTGAATGTTTTTATATATTTCATTCTAGTCTGCACTTTAATTTTCAACTCATATCCCCTGACGTAATGTAAACGATTATATCACTTTTGTGTTTCTTCATTTTTTCAAAGGAATTTTAATCTTTCAAAACTCTACCACATTTTTGCTGTTGATTCACAGACATGAAATAAATTTGCTATACTAACGTCTAAGCGAACTAAAACACTGCTGCAGAATTCATTCAAAAATTCATCTATGTAGATCGTGCAAGTGCTACGGGTGTTATATACACCACACAATACAATTAATGGACGCGCATACTGTGATGGTAAGCATGAAACACATCAAATAAATTTGAGTTTATACGGCAGATATTTTGTCTTAAGCTCCAATAATCATAAATGTGAATGAAATAATATTTGTTTTACTTAAGCAAATGGAACTTCCTATGAGAAATGATCTCATAATTACGAGAAAAAAAAAAAAAAGAAAAAAACTTAATTACTAAAAAGCGAAGAGAAAAACAAATCTACATATAATGGATATATAGGCGTACATACATGTAAAAATATATGCGCTAGAAATATGACGACGAAAAAAGAAAAAAAAACAAAACCGCCCCCACACACATTGATATCGTTAACAAATATTATTCTGCACTAACATTCTGAAAGCATTGTTCAACACGCAAGTTTTAGTGCATTTGCATGATTTCCCCCAAAACGAGTTTTGAATAGATTGGCAAACAGTTATTCCAGACAGTTTTCAAGTGCAGTAAATATTGTTAGTTAATGAATGAA